ATATTAAATATATTGGGAGAGTAATATTAAATATATTGGGAATGATTTCTTAAAATTACGCGTGATATGTTATGCAGCCCCGTGACTGCTATCATACGACCTTTTTTTTTTGGTTATTTAGGACTATTAAATTCCACCTATCTTTATAGATTCACAAGCCGCCACTTACATAGATATTTTAAAATAAATCAAATAACGCCATCGCCTCTAGTTAATTAATTGGTATGCCATTTGTGGCTAAATTAAATAGAATTGGGTATATATGCACATACAAGATTCTAAAATTGTGGCTTAAGGTTTAATACATACATTATTTTTCCTCTGACTAATCCTTCAGATGTAATTAAAATAATATAGGTAATGTTGAACTACCTGTTTTTTTTAATTTAATACTTAAAAGGTAAAAAAACACATGCATGTGCTAAATCTTTTTGTGAAGTTTCTAGATGAAATTTCAAATTTAATATATCTATATTCAGGAAACGGGAAAATTAGCACATGGTTTAAGTTTCTAAATAGTGAAATGTAAAGTGTGGGAAATTTTACCTAAAATCGGAGGGAGAAGAAGGCCAATGAGGAAGATAATCAGGGAGAGGATGAGCATAGAGCTTCAAGAAGTCTCTCCAACAAAAGACGTTGTCTTTGATCTGGTTGAAACTCGTGCCGTACCGTACTGGAGCCGACATGTCCGTCGACATGTACTTTGATCTCTCCTCGTACGGAAGCTCAAAGAATCTCTTACATACTTCTATCATGTTCCTGCTCACATCTCCCTCCATCCCATGATTCACCACCTGCATGCCCATTACCGTAACTTGTTTAGCAAGCATTCTATATGTCACTTCATGTAATTTAGGGTTTACTTTTACCATTTGAGAACCAACCTGAAAGAAACCGTAGGTTTCGCAGGCCTCGGCTATGGTTTGGAGGACATGAGGCCGGTTAGGTCCAAGAAGCTCGGCAAAATCTATAACAGGAAGCTTTAGGTTTTGTTTTGATTTGATGAGCTTGTCGGATTTTGTGAAAATGGGTCGGTCAGGTTCAGGCAATATATATTTGGTTGGCACTTTTGTTAGACCATTGTCACAAAGATGTTTCACACCTCTTTGGTATTTCTTGTTCTCTTCTTCCATCACCGGAGCTATCATCGTCGGCGACATTATTCTCCGTTACACTGCAAATGAGATATTGACACGTAAAAGAACAGTAATCAATAACAAAATATACACAGAGAACTTGTCAAAAAGAAATAGAAATTAACTCAGGAGATGTATGTTTTATATATAATATACCTAGTGGATCTTGATGCTCTCTTTGACAATGTGTTTATGTAAAATGAGAGGAATCAATGTTTGAGGAGTTGGTAAGTTGTGGTGGGTTTTGCATGTTGGTGGTGTATGTATTTATATTCGTGTTTTGAATGAGACGTTGAAATGAATAGTCCAGAATTGATATTTTGACGAATTAAAACCAGCTTTGGTTTTTGTTCTGAGTCAAATTCCTGGAGACTGACTTCTTCTTCTTCCTTTTCCTAACTCGTTTCCTTACCAAAACCGTTGACA